CTTATGCAGCTTCGTCTCAGCGTCTGGTCTTCACCACCATGTCATGCTCCTCGATTCTTCTAGTGTCTCTCATCGGTGATACTAATGTAGTTGAGGATGCGTTTAAAGTGCATATGGCACTTATTTATAGGATTATGGTAGCGCTCTTTGTAGCTGTGGTGGCGTATCCATCACCATTTTCCTTTGGTACCTTTGGTTACGGATTCTTCTACGGTGGGTTTGGTCTTGCGCTTGGGACAATGCGGATTTGTAATGGGTGGTGCGGCATTTCTGAATTCCTTGTTTTATATTATCTTATGTATTTTATTTTTGTTTAGTTTTGAACTGATCTGGGTGAGAAGCTTGGTTCTAGCCTTGTCTTGAGGCCTAGCTGCTTCTACCCGGCTTTTGTGACTTGCTTTGTAATCTATCCTTTCTGGGTTTCTTTAATGAGATCAGATTTCGATCAAAAAAAAAAACAAAGCATTTCTTAATCATAATGAAATTTAATTTTTTTGTTGAAATAAAAGGACGACAATTAACGAAAATGATAATGAGTAAATGAAGAAAGATCCTGAGCATAAGCATTGGTAGCAGCACATGAAGAAACTTGTGACCACTAATATTAAGCATCATGAGTGGCACCAAAATTAGCCAAGGCAATAGGAGCGCAATTACCATCACAAAAATTATGAAAGACAAAAAAATTCATCCGAGGAAGTTTCCATAAACAATTATTCCAACCAGATGCCACTCACGAACTCAAGCAACACGAATAGCCTCAATTACTGCCAGAACCTTTGCGCAATTGAACTAGGAAACTCAGCCCACGAAGCAAAAGCTCCCAAAACCTTTCCATGACCAAAGGCGGATTTATGCCTAGGCTGGAGTCCAGCCTAGGGGAAATCATTGACCAACGGAATTGATGTGTTTGAGTATCATCCGCATAACCAGAATATTATTAATGTTCATGGCAACAAACAAAATGCTTTAGAATTCAACAAAGACAAAATAAAAATGTTAGGTTTCTTGTAAACATTTCCCCATAATTATACAGTTATCCATGCCCTTTCAAATCCATCTAGGGTCAGAGTTTGAATAATTGCATAATTATGATTACGCATTGGAGTCATTCCTACCTTTCATGAATTAGATAAGCAAGAATGTTGTCGGTTAGGTTAGTTGAACAGGAAGTGAGAGTGAGTCTACCTAACCCTACTCAGCTAGAATCTCCATTCCCAAAGGCTTGGCGACTCCGATAATAGCAAGCATATATCAACAACAAAATTATTTTCTCCAAAAACATGTTGAATGCGACACACACCACCAATTATTATAGCTTTGCAGTTAGAGATAAGATTGAATAAAGAGTGAAGAGGGTCACAACAAACTGGGAGTCGAACTATAAAAATGCAATGTCAAATTTTCACTCTCAATATACATAACATAGAAATGCAGCTATATATGAAATTATATTCTGCTTGTATCGGGTTTATCATAATAAATTACAAAATTACGAACATGGTAAAATTGTTGCGAATAAAAACAATTGTATTTTTTTGAAGAGTAGCATTATTCAGTGTGAAATGATGTAGAAGAACCATATCACGTGAGGAATCTTTAATTTGAAGATCCCGAGCCCACACAGTACGAAATCTTCTGTTGCCTAAATTTAATGGGCCAAACCTCTCTTTTTCTCGTACACGTGGCACATGCATGGGTTGATTTCGTCGTCAGCCAATGAAACGCCACCGC